CATTTAAAAGATTACTGAACAATACATACCGTTCCTTTACCAATTTTGGAGTAAGCTTTACAATTTTTAAGAACACCCAATTACCTTCTGTCAAAATAACCATATTTCGTTTCAACAAAAAAAAAAATCAACCAGCAAGGAAATTTAATGTAAACAATTTTACAGCCTATTACAAAGCTGGTAACAGTCAATTGCAATTTCAATAAAACCACATAATGTATTATTGTATGCAGTTTTCATCCATGCAAAACTGCTATTCTTCTATTCCATCTAAATTTGGCCTATATTTCACCTGCTCATCTCTTTTAAAACTCTAAATTAAAAAAAAAAAAGCACCCACAAAGATTTTGACTAGGCACCAACCGAATACTTTATTAATAGTAATTCAGGTCCATCAATCTTAACATCTGAAAAATAAGTGGGTGCTTAAAATTCTGCAATATGCAAAAATGAATGGTTAACAATACTTCAAGGTTATGACGATCTATCTGCGTTGTAAAACTGTTCAACAAATAGCAGGCTACCAGCAACAAAACTCAACTCTTCATCTTCTTTCTTTCAATCCTATATCTGAATTAATTGAAATATAAATGTAAAAAAAACCACAACTTACAATATTTGATTTCTCCAACGTTACTCCATCCGATATTTTTCGCGAAGTCAAACCACACTCATTTTTTTTGGAAATTTCAGAAGTAGACGCTTGCTGCATATTGCCAATCCAATTCAGCATCTCTTCTTCACTAAAACCAATATTTCGCTTGATTCTCTGTATAAATTTGGGACTAACAAGAAGTCTACAAAAAAATATAACAAAAACGTATCTTCAAAAAATTATCCGCTCATTTACAGATCCAGTTTTCCCGAGAACCCCAAAAGTACTACTACAGTAATAAAGTTTCTAAACAGTATAAACAACTAATTTTACGTCCGTCTTGTCGGTAAAAGAAAAAAGATGATACCTCGCGGCTTGTAAAAGATGTTCTGTTCGTTTTTGAGTTACAACCCGTAAAACGTGTGCCCGTTGATCATCTTTACAATGTAGTAATTCATATGCGATATCAATTATTGCTGATCGCAGATCGATTGTTTTAGAATCACCAGGGATATTTAATATCTGAAGCAGAAAAGCACAAAACATATGAGCACGTATTTCTCATTTAATTTTAAAACAATTGTTGAAAAGCAACAAACACAAACACACACAAAAAAAAAAAA